CTTTGGGTCTCGAGCAATTATTAATCCTGGTTCAGAACATAGATGCTGGCCAATAACTCAGGACGAAATGGTGTAGCGATTGTCATATCTGACAAGACCCTTTCCGCTTTGATTGAATGGAAACCGGTAAACGACCATATGGCCTATGCCCGTTTTAAGGGTAAGTTCTGCAATATCTCGGTTATCAGTATCTATGCTCCAACTCTGTCGGCAGAAGACCGTGATAAAGACAATTTCTATGCGGAACTTCAACTGTTAACAAAGTCTCTACCAAAACATGACATGATCATAATCAAGGGAGACTGGAATGCTCGCGTAGGTCATAATGCAGCTGCGATGATCTCAACAATTGGCAAATATGGCATCGGAGACCGATATGCCAATGGGGGACGCTTCGTTATGCCGAAGAGCATAAACCTTTTGTTACTAATACTTCCTTCCGGCATCATAGAAAACAACTAGTCACGTGGAACTCCCGGACAACCAACACTTCAACCAGATTGATTATATCTTAGTCAGTCGCCGTTGGAAAAGTTCCGTACTAGATAGTCATTCCTATCGCGGAGGTGAAACGGGTAATCTTCATGGACCATGTTATGGTTCGAGCTAAGATCCGCATAAAATTGGCAACTTACAAAAAACACCATCTCCCAAGCTCCTTCATCTATCTTATACTAAAAAATTTGGGGTCAGTGAGCGCATTTCAAACCGAATTATTGAAGCATCTCAATGATACAAATATCAATGATTTTTCTTGCACGACAAACGAATACTGGCCCCAACTAAATTTCCGAATGTCTCCGAATGTCAGCCACTTCCAGGCCAGGATATTCTAGTGGGGCGCTAGCTGAGTATTGAACGTCCAATCGTCTGAAAAAACTGCCAAAGCAGAAATGTCAGAAGATCCTGACTACCGATGCATCGAAGAATTGCAACAATGGCAATAAGGCTGAACAGAAATTATTATTGGAACAACATGGCCTTGATAATGGAAGTGGCTGCTCGATTAGGCGATAATAGGAAACAATTTCGTCTTCTTCATAAAGCAACTTATGGCACACGAGGTAACAGGGTGCTCCCTAATTAAGCTGGATTTAAACTCGAAAGCAGTTGTACTGACCAGATATTCAAGGATGTTGGTACATCGCTTCAGCTATCCCACCGTTACATCGACTTTGCGGCTGCCTTCTATTTAACTGATCTCTTTGAAAGGCGGATATGATTATACGTTTCGTGAAATGCGATGTTTTCTATTATTTCGAATTCATTATTTCAAACTGGTCACCCACATTCGCCAAATTTCATTAATTTAATAATTTAATAATTTTTGCCTTCACATATGTCAATAAAAGATAAAGGCAATTTATAGTATGTATTATATATTCTCAAAGAAATGGTTCTTCTTCCCTCATTGTGGAGACATCAAGGGACCTGAGCTATTAGATCCCAATATTTCAATATTTTGCTCTTTTCTTATTTATTATCCTTTATTTAATTATTTCTTATTTGTTCTGAGAAGAATATACAATATACACTATATATACTAGTTATTTTTTTAGCCTATGCGTTTGATTTGATTGATTTATTGTATCGAATATTTATTCTTATCAGTATATTATTGAGGTTTAATTACCCAAGTTTGAGCTGCCGAATAAAATTTTACATGCACCATTTATTCTACTGTCCTGGTAAAGAGTCGGATCAAGGTTATTATAAAATATTCTAAAAGCATGGCAGGCGAGCAAATTCCACTTTTCGCGAAATGCCATGTCTTTTCTAAAATCATGATTTCAACATAACCGGTGACTCCGACTCATCGTTTAAGAAAACTTTCATAACTTTATCGATTCTTTGGTTATTGAACTTAACATGTCAATAAAACATAAAGGACAATTTACAGTATATGTTGTATACTTATGAAAATCTTCTGTAGTTTAAGGAGTTATATCATTCTTATGCCATTTTAGGCGCCTATAAGGGACCCAAGCAGTTGGGTCCCAATATTAATATTTAAAATTTTAATATTCATTTGTTAATGGATCCTTTATCCAGAAGGATTCTATTCTTTTGTTTTGCCCTTTAATCTGTTTGGTTTAATCGAATCTTGTTTTTTTTGACTATAAATTAATTGGTTTAATTACCCAAGTTTGAGGTGGCGAATAAAGATTTTTATTAATTCATGCAGTGATCAGTTTGTAACTTACCGAGAAGACAGCAAGGATCAAGGTTATCTAATATTAGTAACGCATGGCAGACGAGCATCATCACACTGCTTCTAAACAATATTTGTTTTTTACATCACTGCTTTTAAATATTGAAATGTTATTCAATTATTTTTACAATGCGGTTTTCTAAATATCGTTCAGTTCATAAAGACATTTTACTTCTATACAGATATGTATATAGCGAATTAACAGAATTTTTCGAAAAAAAATTGGTATCCGTTAGGACTACGTCTTTTCCATTACAATATTCAACTATGTGCTAGTCTGGATAATGGGTACCGCTTATCGGCATTCAAAAGGTATGGAAATCACTCCCAGAGCACTAAACGTGTTTTTGCTGAAGTTAATACCGAAATGAAAACAATGCTAACAACTTATAAACAGTTGCAGCGAGAATCGAATTCAACATCAGTGTAAATATGACGAAAATGTTTTCATTTTTTTTAACAAGATATTGTTTTCATCAGTTCATTGCCGGATTATAGAATTCTCCGACTTTAAATAACTTGGGTCCACTCCAGTCCCAAATGGCCAAGTCAAAAGATAAAATTTCAACTCAGATAACGGTAATTAAAAATCGTTAGAAATCCTTCTTTTCACGAAAGCTTTGTGCGGTCATCTTAAAATCATTATAAAAACGAAAGTTTATATAGTTATTTACTCGGTCTTGTTATACGGCTTCGGCTAATGAGAATGGAGAACATTATCTTGACCATTCATGTATACATTTTACTGGTTCGCCTATCAGCTAAAATCAGCCTCTATCATTGTTGGAATCAAATTAAAAGCTTGGAAATATTTTACTCCTATAATAAGCGAAGCCAGTCTAGTCAGTAATGATGAAAGTTGTTAGTTGAAGAATATTACTTTAATTCTTTGTTTCAAAAAGAAACTGTGCAGAGCAAAATCTAAGACTATTGAGGTAATTTTTTAATATTTGATGGAAAATAAAATACCATTAATTATTGAAATGAAATACCAAACGAAATGTGTTCATAGTGTTCAACTGTTTTTAAAAAAAAGTTTACCTAATATCATCCACGACATTGTTTCAAAACTTTACATTACGCAAGTTTCAAATCTCAAAACCTTTTAGCGGCGATATGTGTCAGTAATTCATTTTCTATTTTGGATTTTCTGCAATTATCTTTGATTTGTATTATTCTTTTTGTATTGTAAGCATTTTATCATATTTCTTTTGTATTTTATGCTGAAGTCACTAATTTTTTTTTTTTTATTCGGCATATAATTTGCTAATGCGAGCACATGACGTTTATTGCTCGACTTGGTTTTTCTCAAATAAACAATCTAGAAACAGCGTTCTAGTTTTTGAATTAATAAAAAACTATTGAAAAATTTTGTGAATTGAAATTGAAAGTATGTAAGAACATATTTCTTTAAGTTGTGATTTCTCTATTATTGATTTGATATTGAAAAAAAACTATGAATGCTGATATTGGTTTATTTTTATTTCAAAATTTCGAATTTTTATATTTTAAAGTAGTCTTTTGAGTTAAGAAAAAGAAAAAACTGCAATTTAATTTTTTCCTCTTCCCTTATGCTACTTTTTAATTTCTTTCTTTGATAATATTTTCGAAAAATTCGCAAACTGCAAAAATTTGAAATTTCGATGACTGTTGGGTATTGTTTTTCTTCCAAATATCTCTATTGTCAATTCAGTTCAATATTCCCGTTTAATTTAATGTTAAAGATGATGGAATCTAAGAAGGATAAAATAAATTTTCCCTTAAAAATCTGTGCAAAATATGCTTTACTCTTGTACTGATATTTTTTTGATTTTTTTTTCGTTTTTTTTGTCTTGTTTTTTATTTATATATACATATGATTTTATTAGATGATAAACAAATAAATTATTTTTTCTTTAATAATTTTGAATAATTTCATTTTGATGTAATACAATGTAAGGTTGAAAAATCAACAATTCTTTTCAAAAATTTGATAAAATAGATTCACTACCATAATTTTTATTATATTTAAAATTTTGATAAATCGGTTTATGCTGAACTATTTGAAGCTTTGAAAAAGCAATAAATTCAATAATAGTCATGAAGTTTGAACATTTGACGACCGTTAATTTACCATTGTTATATTGCACTTATTATAAATAAGTATTTTTTCGTTTTCTCATATAAAATCGTTTTTGATTTAACCGGTGTGATTTTTATAAGTATTTAAGGAAGTTAAATTAAAATTAAAATATCTTTTTCTCGATTATCGCTTCGACGACAAATGATAAATGAAATTTTTATGCATTATCAACAAAACTGGTAATATTTCCTAATCGAAGATGATTGTGGCTCTGAAAATTTTTTTAATTTTCTATTCTATAAATTTCCATCGTTTTTTTATTCCTTCGGTATGTTTTGTAAATTACTGCGGCAAATTTTTTTTTCGCTCTTCTAAATTTTATATAATGGAAAAATTAGTAAAACAGTTACTAAAAATTACAAATTTGTGGATACGATAAATGATAGAAAAATTCATATTTTTCATTCTATTGATAAAAATGATAAAATTATTGAAAAATTTCTTATTTATTCGCACACAAAGTTGTGTTATTGATGGCAAACAATGATCAGTTGAATATAGAATTGCGCGCAGAAAATTGAGTGCAAAAAATTTTCTGACGATAAGAGAAGTGATTGTAATCCTCTGAGTAATGAATGCATACATTTCGTCGATAAACAGAAGATTTAAAAAAATTGCAAAAACAAAAAAATCCTATGAAAAATCAATTTTGCAATAGTAGCTGCCTTATGGCATGAAATGGAATCCACCATCTATTCGAATAACTTCACCATTCAAATAGCGATTTTTTATAATGGAATAGACAAGTGAACCAAATTCTAATGGATCGCCGTATCGTTTTGGAAATGGCACATAGACCAACTTCGATTTATTTTTCTGCAAAAATTACGTAAAATATGCTGGTACTTTAATAAAAAAAATTTAATTTAAATTTAATAATAATAGCCTTTTTAAAATCTTATCAATTCCTTATCATATCGCAGCCTCATAATTGCGAAAAGTGCATTTTCGCTTGCACATTTGCTTTAAGAGAAGCTAATTATCACTTTATCTATTTATGTAACATTGTAAAAAAATTACCTCTTTTTGCGGTCTTGTCATTGGAGTATCAAAAATTCCTGGAGCAATGCACATGAATCGTATTCCATTCTCACCGAAACTACCAGCCAACGGCAATGTTAGACTTGCTATTGCTCCTTTCGTTGCGGAATATGCACACGAAAAATATAATAAATTATTTATAAACAATAAAAAACATTTTAAAATACGAAAAAAACTATGTTAAAATATTTTAAATAAACCATTAATTTCATTAACTAAAACTCACTAAATTTGGATAACCGTCAAAAGCGCAAACTGATGAAACGTTTATAATAACTCCTCGCTGTCCGGTCAAATCTTTTTCATTTTCAAGCATCGACTTACATGCAAAACGAATAACATTTAAAGTACCAATTAAATTTACCTGAAAACGATCAACGATTTGTTCTAATTAACAATGCATCATATATAAACTAATCATATTTCATCATATACTTACTTCATCGGAATTTCCATAATTTAACTTAAAATCTTAAAAGAAAAAATTAGAGTTGAAATGATCGAAGGAAATTGAGGCTATCAAAAGATTAATCAGTTATTCAGTTATAGTTGATCATTTTTGATTATGAGTTAAAGAATTTAGTTGTCCACGAAGTTGTCCAAAGGATAAGAAAATTCTTCCGTTGTTTTTGCATACTTTTAATCGGAAATAAAAATTTGACAAAATTATATATATTAAAATTACTTCTAATTTTCATTAGTTTTAATATATAATTTTGTCAAATTTTTGATTTTCAATCTCTAATTTTTAATTTTTATTAAAAAAAAGGAACAAGATATTAAGAAAATTTACATTAAAGATTTCCTTGATTTCCTCGGAACTTTGCATCTGATTCGTCATAACGTTATAAAATTTTCCTGTGCGATAAATACCAGCGCAATTGACAATTATATCAACTTTCCCGAAATGTTTATGCAAACCATCGAAGGCGGCTGCTATTTCAGTTTCGGATTTTACCTTATTTTAAATGAATTAAATTTATTTAAATTTATTTAATTAATAAAATTATAATTAATAATTTTTAATTTAAAATTTTTTTAATTTAAAATTATGATAAAAACGATTTTTTCGCCAAATTTCGTAATTTATTCGTTTCATTTATTTTCATCGAATTTCATCGAATTTTTTTAAGTGATAAGAATAAAGGCGCTGTTAACATAAGAATTCAAATTCTTTGTGGGCATCTATAGGAAAATTCGGCTGGTAAATCAGTGATCAGTGAATTTTTAAACAATACTCGTTCCGGCATAAATAATCCTTAACATTATAAGAGTTTTGCCAGTTGGCGAAAGAAGTACAATTGAGTTGATATCTGGATTTTTGAAGGATATGTTTACACCAACTGCGTGGAAAACTCAGAATCGGCATTCCAAATTAAACAGTAATTGTATAAGTTTATTCTACCACTTCATTTTTATTACTGCCAAGTGCATCAACCAGTTTCGAAATCCGAGCCATTATTCTTCATTCTCAAAGGTAATCATCTTGTCATTAAGCACTGATGCACAAATGTGACAACTGCTGATAAATATCTATTTTCATCTATTTCATCACCGCTGGAAGTAGTGCAGGATTTTAAAAATATGTATTCCTTCGCCTGTCTAATGGCAAGTAAAAATTTACTACTTAGAGAACTACATTTATTTTTTTCTTCATTTATGAAAAATATCAGCTAGTTATCTTTGAGCCTCAGGCGCATTACTTACAATTATCATCAGAGAGTCGTTTAAGCTGATTAGTATTTTTTTCATTGCCTATTCATAAAAGCGCAAATATCGACAAATATCAAGATCTAAGATAGTGAAGATCCAATTAAGACCGTATATATGTTTGGCCAAGAAAGATTATAAGGTAGTCCAGCTATATATACGTTTCGATGCTGGATGGAGGAAATGTTGACCTGTTTTTCAGTTATAGCGGACCTGGTAACGAGTAAAATCAACCAAACCATGAATATTGTGCATTGTTAGAAGAAATATTCGATGAATGGACGAAATTTTCAATAAAATTCAATACAGATAAATGATTTACAATCAAATTTTCCATTCAAAAAATGAGGTATTTGATAGAAAATTCTAGCAATTATCAAATTTTATTTAGCTTTATTTCGTATTTCCTTTCATTTTAAATTTCTATTAAACAGGTTTTTTTTTAGCCATGAAATATCGATTTTTAAAATATATTTTAAGATATAAATTTTATTTTATGGCATTCAATCAAAAAATCGAAATTTCTTAAAGTTACATAGTTACGAATAGGTTAGAATGCTCGTATGCACTTCTAACACCAAAAGATTGCCTGACATATTTGCCTGTAGCGCGACAAGCCAGTGGAGCGATTCGAACCAAAAATGGCGTTCTCTTAAGATGCGGATAGGCTCGTTGAAATTAAAATCAAACTTAACACAATATAATAAAATTAATATCAAAAAAATACATACATTGGCTGGAATGAAGATACAATTTTCACCATAATATTTTGCAATTTCTGCACCATCTGAAGATGGCAAATCAACGATGACAACTTTTAAACCGTGATTTATTAAAGTCTCTACAGTACCCTTGCCAAGGCCTGACGCTCCACCAGTAATTAGAGCAACGAGGCCCTTCAAAAAATTAAATATAAAATTAAATATAAATCAATATAAAATTCTAAATTTTGTATTTTTTAAATATATTTGTTCGAATCTATTTTCGAATTTATATAGCAAAAATTAAATATTTTCTATTTCAAAAAGGTAAACTATTTTCAAAATTGATCTTAAAGAGCGATTCGTGCAGAACTTAAGAATTTGATAGAAACTTTTTCAAATAAAAATTTATTGTAACCTTTACGGATGAGAAAATTGATTGTTCAGCACACATCAGCATGTGAGTTCCTTTTTTGAAGTTCATACCTTTTTAAATCATTTTTTTGAAATGATTTTTACAATTCTCAATTACTTACAAATTTATGGGTGGAATGGCATCGTGTGTTGTTTCTCTCATCTCATTTTCAAGCGAAACGATACTATTGAGACATTCTTTGCAAGAATAAACCTGCTTCAAAATTTCTAGGCGATATCGACGGCTCATCTATCTGTGGCTTTCTTTGAGCAATCCAAATAGCGAAACGAGCCTAGCCAGAAATGGTGAATGAAAATTTATACGCAATTATCAAACGGCAATGCTGTTGAATTTTTAGTTTTTCTATCTATTTTTTAGTAAAATTAAATGCATTTTTTTATTATACAAAATTTTTTAAAGAATTATTCGAGAAAAAATACAAAGCATTAGATTTTCGATTATATTTTTAAATAATATTACAATTCTTGAAATTCGGAGAGAATATATATTTTTAAAGTTGGTTAAATGGTTTTATAAAACAAACATAAACACAAAATATCACTGAAAAAATGTATAGCTCAAATATATATATCCAATAATAATTTAAAATTGCGATTCTCATCAAATGCAGATTTCAAATTTCAGATTCTGAAAAAATTACAAACAAAACTTGGTTTTCATCGAGTTTTAAAAAATCCATTCCTTGGAGCATAAAAAATTTGAATCTTTCTTTCATTAAAATACATAAATTTATTGTAATATGCATTTATTGTAATAGTGTTAATTATTTGATTTTGTTTAATTTAGACTTAATTTATTATAAATTCTCAGAATAACTTTTGGATTAATGAAGATAGTAAAAATTTCAGGCTTATTTTTTAAAATTCATCATCAATCCGTTAATATATTTATATATTAATATATTCATTTATATTTATATATTTTTTCTTATATTTTTTTTTATATTTTAGCTATAATAATAATGATGCATCAATGAGAAATAGGCTAAAGTAGTTCAAGATTATACAATAAAATGATTTAGTGCTCAAATAATTTCGATACTTCTCTAATAATTTACTTAGTCATCGTGTAGGAGTCGAATAGCAGTGCCTCCGGCGAGTAATTTTAAAATTAAATAATTATTTAGATTGTTAATTATATTTTTTTAAATTACAAATTATAACTAAATTTTTCTTAGTTAAATAAATAAATTCAATTTTAACAAATTATAACAAATTTATTTTTAGTTATAATTAAATTTATTTTCAAACCTTCTCAAAAATGCAAGCGGTAGATTTAGTGCTATAATTTTATCAAATTAATAAAATGAAATTTTAAAATTTCTAAAATTTTTATTCAAATTTTTATTTTAAAAAATTTAGTTTGTTCTAAAAATTTTCTTTTATAAACTAAACTTTAGCGAATTAAATCTTATGTTTGAAAAAGTAAAAAAAAAAGTATTATTTATTATTATTATTATTTGAAGACTATCAATTCACCAATGCATTCCAAATAATTATTTTTTTTACGGTTCGATTCCGTTAGAGGATCTTTTTTTAATTAAAGCGATATTATGCATTTTATATTTTGTAAAATATTCGTATTTCTCGACAAATATTTTACTAAATTCGACAACAAATAAAATATGCATTATGCATTATCAAGCAAAATATCATTATCGATAAAACTGGTGGTTTTGAAACTTTCCATTTTTTTTTTTTTTAAATTATGCTGCCCTTTTTCAATTTCAATTTTTCAATTTTCAGTCGTTTTTCATTCACTTTGGCAAATTCCATATGCTACTAATTTCATCTTTCTTATTATTTTATAAACATTATGATATGATAATGAATCCTCATATTATTGGTTAAACTCCTCCATTAGCTTCATTGGTCACATTGAATAATGTGCCAGGGAGTCTTTTGGTGACAGAAATATAGGTAAATCGTCAGCATAAACCGTATTTTTGTACGGGTCTACTCCTACGAAGAATCGAACCTGTTTCGACGCTCCCAGTCAAGCAATAACCTACTAAGCCATTCCTATCCTCTGTTATAAATATTATATTGTTCTTATTATGCTGATATGATTCAAGATTTGATAAAATTATTAAAAATTTTCTTTTTAAATAGAAAATGGTCTCACCGATGGTGGCTTTGTGGCAGTTTGAAATTTCTCCATAATAAAAAAGCGATAAAAATATATTTATTTTTACATATACAAAATTCAGTAACTTATTTATTTTAATATTTGGCTAAGTAGGGCATTAAGAGGACATTAAAATTTTATACGATGGTAAAAGAGAGAAAAAAAGAAAAGTAAAAAACAAAACTTATATTACAATAAGCAAGAAACCAAAGCTATTAAATGATAATAATATAAATTTACAAGTTTTATCACTATAATAGAGCTAAAGCTATTCATTCTTTGCGTGTTCTTCGCAGTTATTTCAGTATAACGATCTTTCTTCTGATTCAAATCAACCATGTTGGTAAAATAACACAATTATATAATCATGAGGTACCAAATAGTATTAACCGTAGTACCATAGAGTTTTTTCATAAATTATGTTATAAAATCTAAATTTAGAGTTTTTTTCCTAAACTATGCTATAAAACCTAAATTTTTTTCCGTAGAAAATCTAATATGCGTGCAATATGTGCAATAATCATCTTATAGTTTTGGACGTGTTGCACCGTCCAATCGAATAACTTCACCATTCAAATAGCGATTTTCTATAATATGATAAACAAGTGAACCAAATTCTAATGGATCTCCGTATCGTTTAGGAAATGGCACATAGTTCAATGCTGCTTCGCTTTCCTGGAAAAAGTTGTCTAATAGGATTTTTTCTTTAAAATTATCATAATTTTACAGTTATTTATATAATAGTTAATGATAATTATTTTTTGCAAGAAAGAACAATGAAGCTAATAAAGCTTCCGTGTTAGTAGATAAATAAAATAAAATAAATAAATAAAATTTAAATAAATAAATAAATAAAAATAGATAAATGAAATTTTTGTAAAAATATATATTATAATTATTCTCCACAATCTTCTTCCAAATTCTTTCTGATTGCCTTATTACTATCTTGGAAGCAGTGCTCTTATTAAACAAATTGCATCGAATTCTCCTATTTTTTTTGAGAAGATAGTTAAATTAATATTAATATTTCACTCTAAAAGTACCTCAGGTGTTGAATTTGTCATTTGAGTATCAAAAATTCCTGGAGCAATACACATGAATCGTATTCCATTCTCACCGAAACTACCAGCCAAAGGCAATGTTAAACTTGCTATTGCTCCTTTCGTTGCGGAATAAGCACACGAAAAATATAATAATCTCATTAAAAATTATATAAATTATGCGAAAATATTTTAAATTAACCTTTAACCCTAAGATATTTATGAATGTAAAATAGAAACTTACTACATTTGGATAACTATCAAATGCGCAAACTGATGAAACGTTTATAATAACTCCTCGCTGTCCAGTTATATCTTTCTCATTTTCAAGCATCGACTTACATGCAAAACGAATAACATTCATTGTACCAATCACATTTACCTAAAAGCGATCTTTAATAGTATATTTTGTAGCGTCTATCTATATTTTATATAATATCTATAAAAAATAATACATATAATAATAATATTAATAATATTTATAATAATATTAATAATAATATTTTAAATAAAACATTCATACACCTCCTTTAAAAATTTTAAAAATTTTTCTCCAACTCAGTATGTATAAAAAAAAGTTAAAGGAAGAGAGTTACAATGATAAGCGATTAAGAAAAATGGAATAGAGAATTTCAAAGTTGGAAAATCAAAAAATTATAGAGCAAATCGTCGAGAGAATGAAAAAAACGATTATTTTTTGCAGATAATCGAAAATCTTTTTTCTTATCTATCGTTAAAAAAAAAAAAACAACGAAATAACAAGAAAAATTACATTGAAAATTTCTTTAATATCTTCGAAATTCTGCATTTGTTTCTTCATTGAGTTATAAATTTTTCCTATACGAAGAATACCAGCGCAATTAACAACCACGTCCAATTTTCCGAAATTTTTGTGCAGCAAATCGAAGGCAGCGGCTATTTCAGTCTCGGATTTCACCTAATTTTGGTTGATTTGAAAAAGACCTGGACTGATGCGGTGAGAAAAGATTTTGAACGTATAGGTGGACCAGCAATATATAGACTAGATAGAGAAAGGAATGGTTTCCATTACTGTCGACGATGGCATCAGGCTGCACAGCTTGAAAGCTTACCCTTACCCTCGTAGCCGTTGGAGCCAGCCTAATCAGTAATGGTGAGAGCTGTTAGAAGAAGAAGAATTATATTAAAATATTATTCCTTATTAAAATTAGTCTAAAAAAGCGATTCGTAAAAAAAATTAAGAATATTCGATAGAAAAATATTTTTATATTATTGATATAGAAATTTATTGCAACCTTTGCGGATGAAAAAACTGGCCGTTCAGTATTCATATATGTTCGACAATGAATGAATTTCTAAAATTCAATCTCTTAAATCACTTTTCGAGCAGACTTTTACAATCATTAACAATTGCCTGAGAATGATACAAATAATAAAATATCAACTTAAAAATTTTGTAAAAATATATGAAAAAATATCAATTTTTGAAATTATCTTTGTGCTAATGTATCATCTTTCAGTAAATTTTGATATTACTAAAATGTTAATGTAACTAAAAATTAAGTCAATTAATTTAATTAATTAAGTTAATCAATGTTAATTAAAATTAAATTAAAATTAAATTAATTAATGTTACTAATGTTACTAAAAATTAATATCGATTTTGATTGGTACTTTCTTTATTGTTGGTTTTTTGATAGTTAAAAAAATTCGATAGTTAAAAAAATGTTTTATTAAGGAGAAGGACACTAATTTATTATTTTTCCTGGCTGCATTTTTTCCTTTCTCACCATTTCCTTCATAATCATCTCAAAAATCAAAAATCCGAATGGCTTCTGGAGACCGATTTTTAATTTCCAACTGATAAAATGGCAAAGTGAATTGGTCTAATGTTTTATAAAATCTTCAAATCGATGCGTGAAGGATGGATCACCGTTAATATCACTGTATTTCGAAAAATTTCGTTTTTTTTTATTTCTAACGCAATATAAGTAAAAGAACCAATTTTTTCGAATTCCCTAAAATTAATTTCTTTTTCACACTTAATAAAGTAATCTTAGATAAATTTGCTGACTTAATTATATTAGAAAATTAAATCTTAAAATGGTGCTTAATTAAGTATTAAATGTTAAAATTTGCTCTAAAAATTTTTTGATAAATTATCTTTTCTTCTAAATTTCTAAATTTCGATGAATATTTCTTCGGTTTGAAACTCAGCGAATTCAGTTATAAATCATAAATATTGAAGGTTTGAGACGAAGCGAATCATTTTGTCGTTGTATTGTAAATGATTATTTTTTAATTTTTCTTTTTAGAATTCTCTCTTTGAATAATCTGACAATATACTTCAACATTTTACTTTTAAAATGAAATATCGGCAAATATCGGCAAATATCTCAACGAATTGACGGCAAATGGATGAAATATATTTGGTTTTCCAAAGAAAAATAGAATTGCAGGCAAATTTGATAGATAAAATTCTGAAAGTATATTTGGTTTTTTGAAATATTTGGTTTTCCTATTAATTTCATTAAACTGTAAATTCCAATTGTTTTTCATTTGCCTTTTATTCATTATTATTTAACGAAAGAAATAGAAAATTTATGAAAAAGATAAATGATCAAAAAATCTTAATTTTCAAACCATTGACAAATTGATAAAATTATTTGAAAAAGTTTTTGTTCGATTGCAGAAAATGAACGAAAAATGGTAATTGACTATAGGGAATTTATTTTCGAAAAATAAAATTCAAGAAATTTTGTGGTACTCTGAGTAATTTACGAATTTTTCTTCAATAAATAGCAGAAAAATTTGTTTTAAAAGAATATTTAATAAAAATATTTAATAAAATATTTTAATATTTTAGAATAGAATAGCGATTGTAAAACATAAAATTTAGACTTTCTTCTGCGATAAATCAACTTTATACGTTTTCTTATAATATATAATATGCCGTCCAGTCGAATGCAATCGCTATAATGCAATATACCTTCTACGATGTGGTAAATGAATCAATCAAATTCTAATGGACCATGAAATCGTTTTGAAAATAGCGAATATTTTTTGAACTGCTCGTTTTTTTCGAAAAAATTATATATTATGATTTTCGCGATGAACAAAAGAAAAACGAAGAAAAAAATCGGAATGTTTTTTGCTAGCAAAAAAATAGCAGATAAATGAAATTTTTTTGAAACTTTTCCTTTTGATCTCTCTAAATAAGTTATCTACACTTTTCTACAATAATTTTGCAGCAAAGTTTATTGGAATATTTCACCGATTTACTTTTACTTTCACTTTTATCATCGATGCTTTTTGATAACAAAATGGTAAAATATTTGAGTGTTAAGTATATTTATGTTGATAAAAAAGAAATCAAAAATTCATCGTTTTACAAAAAATTGTTTTCAATTTTAAATATTTTAAATGCATTCATTTCGAATGAAATTTTTTATAGATATTGTTTTCCGTTTGGGAGGCCCGAAGGCGCACTTAAAGGAACTCTTTCGCTATTAGAACGAGTAATTGCACTTTCCAATTCATATTTTTTAATTTTCAAATAACAATGATAAATGATAAACCAAATGATAAAAATAATTTTATCATTTACAACAGCGTTTCCCATAAACCGGAATAGTTTTAGCCAAATTTGGCCCACTTTTTAAATGAAATACACATTGATATATATTGATATATCTATATTTCAATGTTTTGCATATAAAATTTGTATCTAAATATTTCAAGTTTGAAAAATATTTTAAAGATTTTAAAAATTTATCTTGAAATGGTGATTGAATTCTTCTTCCCTTTTGCAATGGTAGTCACCATTTTGATTGCTTTGCCTCACTGGTTTGTCGGACCAAAATTTAGTAAACAATAATTTGTCGATAGAAATATAGGTGAATCGCTAGCATAAAATGGTCCTTCACAAGAAAACTTTTGATTATATAAAATATGCAGAATAATTTCATTTAAATTTATTTTATTTTTTTATTTTTATTTATTTATTCATTATTGCTTGATTTATTCGAACTTATTTTTTATAGTATAAATATCATTCGAAATTAGATGAAACATTGGATACTAGGTTAAAAGATATAAATATTAATTCAAGACAAAATAAAATTAAATTTTCAAAATTTCGAAATATTTTTAACATATTAATAATTTTAAAAATTGTCGTCGCTTAATGAATTGCGTAAAAATTTGATAATTTGATAAAATTTGATAAAAAATTTGATAATTTGATAATTGATAATAAAGAAGACATTTTCCTTGTAATATTTAAATTATTATTGTAATACTTAATATATAAATATTTTTATTGTTTTTTTAGCTCTTATCAGTGCTCGAATTTACTTTATCTCGCCTTACTCGCTATGATGAAGGAAATCCTATTGGTGCCATTCTCTCAATTGCTGTCACTTATTTTTTCAAGAATTTTTTAGTTGTGTTCAAGGAAGAAAATTTGTATTTAATATGCAATATGTGTACTGTAGATTATTCATAATTTCAGCCTAAACCCACGACAATTTTTAATAAAATGAAGAACATTGTTGCAGAGCATAATATACCAGGTTCGAACCTACCAGCTGCGGGGCAGCATAATTCAGTGCGTTTTAAGAATTTTTTTTAAAATCACACTCTTTAGATGAAAATGATATTCCTTATCTTCTTGCAAAATTTTTATTTAGCAAAAACAGACAAAAGTTCAAACGGATATCAGTCTTAAAAATTTTGCGGTATTGAGGGGTACTAGTAACAGGTTTTTAAATATATATGATATTTGTGATTTGTACTTTATTTTCTTATATAAAAAGGCAAAGAATTTTCAAGGATTGAAGGGGAATTTTTTAGTTTTTCCCAATTTTTTCACAAAAAAAGAAATTTTTAATTTTTAAAAAGGCAATTTTATTCATATTTAGGAAAAAATTTGCCTAATATTTTAACCCTCAATTTTATATTAAATTTATTAAAATGTTATTTATTTCTTCAGAAGTAATTTGCTTCACAATTGGATTATCAACTATACATTTTTTTTGTTATCTTTCAACATTATTGCTTCGAATGATTGTGAAGTTTTCATACATTTTCTTAACCTTTTTTATTAATAGAAAACTTCGAAATAGTTAATGAAATTCTAATTTGATTACTTATGGAATTTTACAGAATAACAACCATCTATAAACCAAAATAATATGCAATAGTAACAAAGCGTTAATTATTCATTATTTATCATCTATTAGTTTTTTACTAGTTGAATTTTTAGTTAAAGTCGCATAAATCAAATTTAAAGTGACAAAAACAATTCCAATAAAAAATATTTATATTTTATAAAAGGAAAAGGCGTGTATTTAGTTGCGATTCGCTCGATCTTTCTATATGGTTGCGAGATGTGCCAATGAGAGTGGAGGATATTAAAAGGTTACCCTTGACCTCCCAGGTCTAAGATACATTTTACGGATTCGCCGATTGAATGAATTCTCGTATGATCGCTTCAGCCTTCGTTCAAATACCAGTTGAATTAACAGTACTATCGCAGATCGTCACCTTTGCTGAATAGGGCGCTTTATTCGTCGTCCAGTTAACCCTTATTTCGTTACTAAACCCTGTGATGGGTGGTGTAAAAATCGAAGTGGGTCAACCAAGATCTGGACTGATACGGTCAGAAAAGATTTCGCACATTTAGATGGACTAGCAGTATATGAACTCAGATGATGAAAAAGGAAAAAAAAGGAAAGGCTTATTACTGTCGACGATGGTATTCAGATGGTACCACTCATCTTATCCTTGTAGCCACTGGAGCCAACCTAGCCAATAATGGTGAGAGCTATTAGAAGAAGATGACAAATTCCAATAAGTTATGAATATTTTGAGGCTAAAGAGTTTAGAAGTCGAAAAATCTGCTTCTATTCTTCTATTTTTTTTTGCATTTTTATGCAAATTTATGATCTATTGACAAGCAATAATTTTCCACTTCATTTTATTTTTCGATTCTAACCATAATTGATTTGCAGCGGTTTTTAGTTTGAAATATGGATGCCATTCCTAGAAAAATATTGTTTTTTGAAATTAAAAATTTCTCAATCCACTACCGTACATTTCTGCAATTAGCCTCATAAATAACTCTACAAAGGATAATTCTACAAAGGATTACTTATTTCTTTATATGCCTCTAAACATGCCTCATTTTTCTGTGTTATTATTTGTAAGTTTATAAATTATTATAAGTTTTATTATATTTATTATTATATTTTATTATTTATTATAGGTTTATAATTTATTATAAGTTTATCATTTGGTGATTTTATGAAAAAAATGAACGATATGTCCACCTACAACTATCTACAACTGGCTATAAATTGATATGTATTTATTCAGATTATAATCAGATTTTCATTCAGATAAGGTTTAAAAGCGAAAGGTATTCGTTCTATGGAAATGAACATATGACAGAACCATCCATTAAAAAGTGTGTAAAGTCAAAAAATACGAAAATATTAAATAATGAACAAAAATAAAAGCGAAGATTGGTGCGGTAATTTTTTTCGGAACATAATAATCAATTTTGTTAGCCTAAAAAAGAGGTAGTTTGTAGATTGTTTATTGTATTTTCTCAAAGTAATATTAAGAAGACGAATTAAAATTTGATTTCAATATAATTTGAAATGGACCGATAGAATTAAAGGGATAATCGGAATCTTATGAATATAAGAAATCGATGGGTACTCACCACTAATGGTCTGGTTTGTTTGCACAACTGACTTGTCTACTGAACCAAATAAGGCATTGAAAATGAAACAATTAGTGATAAAAGTATGGGCCTAAATCTTTTTACAACTAATTTAAGTCATTTTATCACATGAAAGTAAACATTAGAAAATTTTTGATCTAAAAAATTTAGCTACAATGATTTGGTTTTTTTCTCAATCATTGTCAAATTCGATGAACCATTCATCAGGTAAGAAATATTCTATTCTTGGCACAAAAAAAGGAAAAAACATCGATTTTTATTAAAAAATTTTCGGCAAATTTTTTTTTCCAATAATATTATAATCGAATGTCGATTGATTTAGTCGAAATTTGAAGAAATTTTCTTATTTTTTTAATGAAAATTCAGTTGTGTTATTCGAAATTACAAAGTTTAGTTTGTCGTCCTTTTCATCAACGGCAAATTTTTAGAAAAATTTTCGAATTTTCTAATTTAATATTTGTCAAATTAAGAGAACTTTGTTTACTGCAAGACGAGGGAAAAGCCGGATGGGAAAAGAAGTTACTTTTATCATTCGCAGGAATGATGTCGAGTAGCGTTAAAAGGTCTTACAGCAAGCGGAGTCATCTGAAGTTGTAATTATATAAACTGTTAGAAGAAAAGATAATCAAATTAAGATAGAATGAACAATGGATAGTTTAAGAAGAAAAAATCTTATATTTATATTTTAAAGCTAAATGCTAAATTAATTATCTTTAATTTTTATAATTAATAAAATTGCTTAATAAAATTTAATTTACAATCTTTAATTTGTAATTTAATTAATTATAATTTAATTTTTATTTTACAAGTAATAATTGTGAAAAATTTCCCTCTTTATTTCTATTTATCATTTGTAAGTGATTTGAAATTTTCGAAAATTTTTAAAAATATATCTTTATTCTAATTTTTTAGGAAATAATTTTATTAAATAAGTATTAAATAAGTATGAATAGCGAATCGTCAGTTTTATTACCTACGAAGGTATCATATTTTTATTTTTTAAAATATAAAATTTTCAGCAAATTAAGGAAAAATTTTAATGAAATTTTTGCTTACGAAATCATTTTAAAATTTTGGCAAAGTAAGCGATTAAAAATTAAAATTTTAAAATTTTAAAACTTTTAAAATTTAAAAATTTTGAATAATGATTAAATAAATCTGAAATGTGAAAATTTTAGGGACTCATTGCTTTAGTTACTGGTGGAGCTTCCGGTCTTGGAAAGGCTACTGTCGAGTTCTTAATAAACCGTGGACTGAAGGTAGCCATCGTTGATTTGCCATCTTCAAATGGCGCAGAAGTAGCCAAAATTTGCGGTGAAAATTGTCTTTTCATTCCAGCAAATGTAAGGTTACAACAAACATTTATATTCACAAAGATCGAATTAAGCATTTTTAATAAAGGAAAAGGCTTCCAGCGATATATGGACTTAGACGATGGAAAAAGGATTGGCTTTTATAACTACTAATGATGGCGTCGGACAGGGCAACTTGGAAATGTTTTATTCTTGTAGTCAGCGAAGCCAGCCTAACCAGTACTGGTGAGAGCTGTTAGAAGAAGAAGAAGAAAAGGAAAGGCTCAAAAACGATGATATGATTATCATTCATATCTGAAGCCAACTTCAGCTTGTATTAGCTTCTGTTTTTTTTTGATTAATATTGGCCAAGTCAAGAAGTCCATAATACAAACATTAATTAACAAAATGCATGAGAAAAATCCATGCAATTAAGGAAATATTAAAAATCGAGATGATGCATTAGGTTGATGCTTTCATCTCAGAGTACCGATACCTGCGATTCTATTTTTATTAGGAATAAATCTATCTGGTCATCCAATATTAAAACTATCATGCGTGTCACCAGATAAAATCAGTCCGATAAGCGAGAAGAATAAGAAAAATAATATGATAATTTAAAAAATACAAAGATATATAAAATATAAAATATAAAAAATTTCGCTAATTATTCTTTTATATTCTTATATTCTGTAAATATTTTTCGTAAAAAATTTAAATGATAATTAAATTCAAATTCAAATCAAAAAAAGTCAGGTGACATCCGAAAATGAGGTAAAAGCTGCATTCGAGATTCTGCGCGAAAATTTCGGACGAGTGGATGTAATTGTTAATTGCGCTGGAATTTTAATTCCCGGAAAGTTATATGATACTATGAAGAAAGAAATGCAGAGTTTAAAGGAAATTGAAGACACAGTCAACGTAGTTCTTCTTTTTCTTATCATTTTATCGCCAATATTTAGTGCAATGATTTATAGTTTATTTTTGGCGATGAATTCATTTTTTTATTGCATTAAATTAAGAAATTATCAAGTTTATCAAATTATCACGAAAATCAAATATTATTTTTTCTCTGAAATCAATCTGAATTTTATAATATCAATTATTTTCTGGAATCGTTCATTTAAAATTTTTTCGCTAAAAAAATAAAAAACACAGATTTAAATAAAACGGAATTATAAATAGAATCAACAGTTTAATTGATGGAATTTAATTTATTTTCAGGTGAATGTAATCGGTACAATGAATGTGATTCAATTTGCATGTCAAATGATGGCTGAAAACGAAAAAGATAAAGACGGGCAGCGAGGAGTTATTATCAATGTTTCATCAATTTGCGCATATGATAACAACTCGCTTCATGTAAATGAGTTTTCATGATCGCAAAGCATCTATTCATCTGCTAAATTATAATTATTACTTTTATTACTTTTCCTAATTCAAGTTTAGAAGTAGCAATTATATTTCTAATTTAGGCATATTCAGCATCGAAAGGAGCGATTTCTAGTATGACAAGTCCTCTTGCTTTCGAATTTGCAAAGCATGGAATACGATTCATGGCTATTGCTCCAGGCCTCTT